AAAAAGCCCTTTGCATAAATATTTTTTTGCCAAATATTCCATTACTATTTGATCTATTATATAATTTAATTTGTAATTCATATTTGTTTTGTTTAAGATATCTAATATATTCGATTCAATTCAAAAAATATTTATAAACAGCTAAATATATTTCTATATTTATATATGAATATATATATAATAACTGGGAAATTGGTAAACAAAACAAATATAGACATGGCGAAAAAAAATCTAATAAATATTAGTAATGTTCATTGTCGTGTTAATATATTAACCTTGAAATCTGAAAAAAGAAAATATAATATATACATGTCGAATCCTTATAACTACATGGCCACAATCCAATTGAAATTGAATCCTTTTCAAAAAACTTCAAAGGGCTTTTTTTTTAAAAATAAAAAATAAAAAAAAATTGTCATGTTTGAATTTATATGCCATTGCCGTATATGAATTGATAATTTAATAAAGTCATCTCATATGCCACATCATATTATGGAGTCCTTTAAGAATTTTTTTAACTGCATTTCCTTAAAGTTATGTAACAAAATTGCGAAAGAATTTTCCGTAGATATAATTGAATCCGATTATGTAATCAGAATATAAACTAATTTTTAAAAATGATATATTTTTTTGAATTTTTCATAAAAAATTGGTAACAATGTATTAGCTTTCTTATTTTCCAGTGGCATGTAAAATTGAAATTCTTTGACGTGTGGTTTATTTATTTAGATGTATTTTGATGAAACAATATAAGTAAAATTAGATTTAATTGATGTAGATTTTTACATTTATCATTCGTTCATATGATTATTTATTTAAATAAGTTCGTTATTTATTAGTATATAAATTTGAATAATGAATTTATAGTTGGTGAAATAATATGTAAATCAAAATTTCGGGTTACATTTGTGTTAAATTGGTCAAATTAAACATGTCTCTATCCTACATATAAAGAAACAATATAACTGATTGTTGTATTTATATGCATCATTCGTTTTACTGATTTTATATATTCTAAAGATATGTTAAATTTTGTATTGTTTTGTACGTAAATATTAATCGTGATATTTTATGTTTTGTACCAAATATTGCACATGTATTATTAGATTGAATCAATTCGGTGAAATAATATATTTCCAAAGATCATTAAATTAAAGTGTCTCTATCCTACATATTAGGAAATAATATAACTGATTGATGTGGATTTATATGCATCTACCATTTACTTGATTTAATAATTAGTTAAATTCAACCATAGTTTTTAAACCCGGTCCGGTGATCGACCCGGACAGGTCCTCGGGTCACCGGTTCAACTGTCGGGTCATCGGGTCAATTGCTGAACCGGATAATTAATTTTAAAATTTTTAAAATTATATATAGAGTATTTTTGTTATATAAATATACATAAAAGTAACAAATTAAATGTTTTGTGTACAAAATTTGTATATTAAAGTGTTAATAATATGTATTTCATGATAAATATTTACCATATAAACATATATACATATTTTTTTTAAAAAAAATATAAAAAATAAAAAAAAATATAAAAAATATATATGGACCGGGTCAACCGGGTTGACCCGGCCGGGTCAATGCCCCGGGTCGGCCGGGTCTCTGTCGAGTCGGCCGGGTTTTGACCGAGTTTGACCGGGTCTTTGGTTGCCCGATCCAAATACTCCACCCGGACCGGTTCCGGCTCCGGGTCAACCGGGTCCCGGGTCGACCCGCCGGGCCGGTCCGGGTCTCAAAATACTGAATTCAACTACAAAACAATATTTAAAAAGTATATACTTTTTTAAATGGAAACAATTATTCGATTACACATTAATTATGTAATTGTGAGTAATTAATAATTACAAAATTTGTTATAAGCATATTTCATTGCAGAATGAATAATAAAATTGAATATAGTTAATAAACCATACGATTTTGCATGCAAATTAGGAACTAATTTTTTAGTACAAACCAAACTGTTTTGAAAAAAATTAGCAAAACTCATGAAACAAATTTTATATTGCATAAAATAAAGTAACTGATTTTGCACTGAAATAAAACTGTACGATTTTGCAAAAAAAAAATAAAAATTATCAAACATGTGATAAGTCTTAAATTAAAAATGAGTGAACAAATTTTATCATTCCGTAAACTATGGAATGTTTCGGCTGGCAATTAGGGATAAGATGTAAATTAAAAATTTTCAAACAATATTATCATGGTTGAAATCGCGTGAACAAATTTTTGCTTGTGTGAAAAATAGAATGTTTCGGCTGAACAATTAAAAGTGTGTAAAATATGGAATTTGCATACATATTAATAAAAAAAAAAATCTAACCAAATTGTTAAAACCGAACAAAATTTCAGATTTTTAAGCAATTGCCATAAATAGTAAGTCAAAGTCTTAACTCAATTATTTTAGCTTTCCAAAAAAGAATTTAACATCAACCTTTTTAGATATATATAGATGTTTGATAATTAGTGGATTATATAGTTATTTTGAAAATTTATGTAGACATGTTCTACGAATACTCTCTTCTCAAAATGCTCCTATATTCAGCTTCTGAAAGCCACTAGGCTAAAAGAACTAATAATCAAATAAGTTGTTTACCGAACAAGTTAACTAATTTTACACTAATCCAAACAGACCATATTTATAAAATTTCATACCAAATTTCACCTCTATCCATACGATTTTCAAGATTTCCACTAGAATCTAAAATTATTAAAAAGTCTCGAATTTAAAATGTCTTAAAATGTCACTCAATATTAAAAACGAATACACCTTTCTTAACTTTGTGTTTTAATTTCTGGTGGTTTGTAATCTTGCGTTGTTGGTTCGTAATTTTTTATCGATTTCATAAATAGTTTATATAGATTTAAATTATATCCATGTCTAGTAAGACTAATAAAATTATAAACATTTGACTAACTTAAACTTATAAATATATTTAAGGAGTTAATAGCTTATGTGTTTAAGATTTTTATATATGATTTATCAAATCAATCATAATTTGACAAGTTTTGATTAGATATTCATATTGCATATATAAATAAATCTATACTACCTTTATAATAGTAATTAAATAATCTATCATTATTAA